ATAACGACTCCCAGTTTGGAGGGCAGGGCATCGAGGGTCCCACTTCCCTCACTGTTCCTGTCCCTGTTCTTCGGGCACACATGGGCTGCGGGGGTCTGCCCGGCCCACTTCCTGTGCCCACAGAGAACGGGGAGTGGGCTATCCGGCACCGGCCGGCCAAGATGCTACTGGACGCTGCGGCCCCGGCGGAGGAGGCGGGCCACCAGAAGGTGGCCTTCTACCTGCTCATCCAGCGCAAGCCCCTCTTCTATGTCATCAACATCATCGCGCCCTGTGTGCTCATCTCCTCCGTCGCCATCCTCATCTACTTCCTTCCGGCCAAGGGTACCTGCCGCCGAGGGAGGGGAGCCAGCAGCCCGGGCCAGGGGCACAGGGGACAGCTGGCAGGGCGGAGTGGGCTGGAGCAGCGGGCTCCTTGGGGGGGGAGGGGCCCCACAGCAGGGAGGTTGAGACCTGCTCTGAGAGCCTCTGGGTCCCCGGCAGCGGGTGGCCAGAAGTGCACTGTCGCCATCAACGTGCTCCTGGCACAGACAGTCTTCCTCTTCCTCGTGGCAAAGAAGGTGCCCGAGACCTCCCAGGCTGTGCCCCTCATCAGCAAGTAAGGCCAGTCCTCAGGTCTGCCGCCCACCTCCTCCCCCACGTTCTCAGCACTGCCCTCCCTCCAAGCCCCCTGCCAATGTCAGCCTCTCACCCATGGGACCTGGGGGGAACAGCTGCTAAGGGCAGGGTTGGCATCTGGAGATGCGGTGTCAACGGGCTGGCCCCGCCTCCTGCCCCCCTCCCCAGGTACTTGACCTTCCTCCTGGTGGTGACCATCCTCATTGTTGTGAATGCCGTGGTCGTGCTCAACGTGTCCTTGAGGTCCCCCCACACACACTCCATGGCACGCGGGGTCCGCAAGGCAAGGCCTCTCCCTGCCCGTCCCAGCACCACCCCCAGTCCACTGACACGCCCTTTCCTAGGCACCCTGTCCCTGTGCCCACACCTCCCCTGCCACATTCAGCAGCAAATCTGCTCTGTGTGTATGCTGAAGCATGTACCCGAAGGAGTTAGTAACACTGAGTGCTTACCACGTGGCAGGTACATTACACATACTAGCTTATTTAATGTTCATAAAACCCCTCTGTAGTGGGTATTAGTATCATCTCTACTTTAAAAAATATTTTTATTTACTTATTTTTAGAGAGCGGGGAAGAGAGAGAGAAAGAGAGGGAGAGAAACATCAATGTGTGATTGTCTCTTGTGTGCCCAGTGCCAGGGACCCAGCCCGAAACCCAGGCATGTGCCCTGACTGGGAATTGAATCGGCAACCCTTCGGTTCATAGGCCACTGCTCAATCCACTGAGCCACACCAGCCAGGGCTCATCTCCATTTTTTAGATGATAAAATGAAGCTCAGAGAGGTTAAGTAGCTCACCTAAGGTCACACAAGTAGAAAGTGGAGGAGGCGAGATTCTGACGCGGCAGTCTGGCCCCAGAGCCTGCATAACCTGCAACCCGCCTGCAGCCCTCAGCTGAAGCCGTCACAAATGCAGATTCCCAGGACCCCCCCACCACACCCTGGGCCAGAATATTGGGATGGGACCCAGGGGCCTGTGTTTGGAACCTGGTGCTTGCGATGTGCACGGAACTGTGGACACCGGCCCCAGTGTCTGGCACAGAATACCCAAGCTGCACAGAGCCCTGCCCCGCCCCCACTGTGCTGCCTCCAGACCCCGGGCCACGCGAGCCCTTCGTGTTGGCCTCTGTCTTCTGCTCGGACGCGGAGCCACCCAGAACATCCCCTCTGCAGGTGTTCCTGCGGCTCCTGCCCCAGCTGCTGCGGATGCACGTGCGCCCGCTGGCCCCAGCGGCTCTGCTGGATGCCCGGCCCCGGCTGCAGAATGGCTCCTCCTCAGGGTGGTCAGTGTCCGGTGGGGAAGAGGCAGCCCTCCGCCTGCCTCGCAGTGAACTCCTCTTCCGGCAACAGCAGCGCAATGGGCTGGTGAGGGCAGCGCTGGAGAGACTAGGTGAGGCAGAGGGTGTGGCACTGGGGGCACTCGTCTGGGCTCCCCGGGCAGGGAGGGACGTCTCTCGGCCAAAGCAGCAGGCACCGCAGGCGAGTGTTGGGCAAATGTCCAGGCTGGGGACTTGGGTCCCTCAGGAGAGGCCACCTCCTCTGCCTGTTTCTCCTCCATTCTTCTCACCGTCCTGACCCTCTCACCTTGTCAGAGAAAGGCCCGGAGCCAGGGCAGAGCCAGGACCTGTGTGGCAGCCTGAAGCAAGCCGCCCCGGCCATCCGGGCCTGCGTGGAGGCCTGCAACTGTGTCGCCCGGGCCCGGCGCCAGCAGAGGCACTTCGACAGTGTAAGCCCGTCTGGGGGCGGGAGCGGCTGTGAGCACCTGGTGAGGGGCTGGGCCCTGACATGTGGGGGCAGCATAAGGGGGTGACCATGGAAGGGCAATGGGAGGGGAAAAGTAGACTTGGGAGTGGGGAACATGGGGGACATCAGTGCCAGGGGACCCTGGAAGAAGCCAGGTCAAGGGCTGGAAGTAGGTAAGAAAGGCCCAAGGAAATGGAGACAGAGGCCGGAAGGCCGAGGAGTGTCCTGGGACTCGGGGCAGGCTCTGTGTCACTGCTGGCCGTCCCACGCCCTGCCCCCTGCCCTCAGGGGAACGAGGAGTGGTTCCTGGTGGGCCGTGTGCTGGACCGTGTCTGCTTCCTGGCCATGCTCTCGCTCTTCGTCTGCGGCACCGCCGGCATCTTCCTCATGGCGCACTACCACCGGGTGCCTGCCCTGCCGTTCCCTGGGGACCCTCGCCCCTACCTGCCCTCTCCTGACTGAGCCAGCTAACGGCTGTTAGCCATGCAGAGTCTTGTCAGCTGCGTTCTTCTGCCGAGACCACGAGTGTGCTCTCTGGGAAGCAGCCTTCAGGGCCATGGAAGCCAAACGGCCCTGAGAAAAGCTGGAGAAATAAAGAGACAGAGCTGGAGTCATGGAGTGTGGTTGGGGGTGGGCTGTGGCCAGGGCGTGCCATGCGGGTCAGCCTCTGGGTGCCAGTGGCTTGCTCCTCCTGGCACTTGCCTCACTTCAGCAAAGCTTTATAAACTCCCATCATTTTTGAAGCCCTAACGACTGCTTTGCAGGATGCCCCCAACTAGGTAAGGTCCTATCCTTCCAGACCTGGGCCTTTCTTCTTTTTGATGAGTTCCCTGCAGGCCCCTGAAAGAGGAAAGTCAAGAGAAATGTGAAGAGTAGCAACCAGTGCTCTCTTAAAAGATGGTAGCCATGGCCAGTATGGCAGAGTTGGTTGGAGTATCGTCCTGTAATCAGAAGATTGCAAGTTCGATTCCTGGTTAGGGTACATGCCTGGGTTGTGGGTTCAGTGCCCAGTGCAGGCTTGTGCAATCCCTGGTCTGGGAACATATGGGAGGCAACTAATCGATGCTTCTCTCTCTCTCTTCCTCTCTCTCTAAAAAGCAATAAAAAATAGTCTTCAGATGAGGATAAAATAATAAATAAAAACTTAAAAACGAGGATGGCAGTCCACTCTAGCTGCCATCTCCCTCCCATGCCTTTGGGCGCAGTAAGCACCCAGTACTCACCTGCACCAATGATCTATCCATAAGCATTTATGCCACTGATTACAATTTCATGAGTCTTAGTATCTTTTTCCATCATTAAGAGCTCCTCACAACATCATGAAAAGCAAGAGTTGCTATATGCCTACGTTTTAGATGGTCAAATTGAGGCTGAGTCAGAAGGACTTCCCAGAACACTGGTGGCTTTATGGTTTGGAGCCCAGAGTCCCCAACTCTTACCTAACCTTAGACACTCCAAGACCCCACAGAGAATCTGTACTGGTCCCACCGGATGGTCAGGGAAGAGTGAGGTAGGGAGGCTGAGAGGTAACAGGGAACCTGCTGGGCTTTGCCTCCTGGGGGAAGATCCCGCCTGGCCTCCCTGGACCCCACTTAGGAGACAAGATGGCTAGCTGACATCTTCCTGGGGAGAAGCAAGACTCTGCTTTGAGAGTACAGATGGGGCCTGAGTTCTGTTGGTGACAAGAGGGAAATTTTGGGCAAATCATTTGTGCTCCTTGAGCCTCTGTTTCCTCATCTGTAACTATGGGCACAGATATCAGTTCATATCTACCCTCATCACGGGATCAAAGGTGTGGGTGAAGGTGATTCAAAAATGTGAAGCTCCCATACGAAGACCTGACAATGGAACATTGTTGCGGGGAGGGAAGAGGATTCCAAAAATACCCCCCTTTCCTAAGTACAGGGATACTGGCTTTGGTGCTCAATCACCAGCAGCTTCATAGCTTCGTTTCCTTTACTCGGGGGCGGGGGGGGAGGAGGAGGGTTGGTGATGGTGATGGGGTATGTGTGTGTCTGTGTCTGTGTGTGTGTTGTAGCAGACTTAAATCCAGGAGGCAATTTGATGGCGAAACCAGGTCTGGTTCCTGTGTCTCTTACTAGTTTTGTCACCTGGGATGAGTCTCTCAACCTTTCTGAATGCGGACGTTAGCTCTTGCAGCTCCTGGCCCAAGTAAGCAATGACTAACAATAGCTACCACTTAATGTATCTAGCGCCCCAAATGGATTATTTCCTTGGATCCACACGGCAACCCGAAGAGGCAGGTACTACAGTATAGTATCGCGAGTATCAAAGAGGAGGAAACTGCTGGGGCGGGGAGTGTTAAGAGTGAGGATCGGTCAGCCCGCTCCGGGGCTGGAGTTGGGATCTGTACCAAGCTCTGAGTCCAGAGCCCGCACCTTCGCCGTGAGCGCCTTTCTCCGAGGCTGCCCAGCACGCGCTGTCTCGGGCGGGGAGTGATTCCTTGGAGGCACAGGGCGGGCGCCCGGGCAGCTGGCCGGCCCGCTGACTGGAACCGACCTGACGCCAGCGGCTACTGCGGCCGGCAAGCTCAAGCGCCTCGGCGCAGCCGTCTTAGGCTGGCGTCCCGGGATATCCGCCCCCCACTAGGCCCGCGCGCCTACGTTCCGCTGAGCCCCGCGCAACCGGAAGTGGCCGGGCCCTAGCTGGAGGGACCGGGCGAAGCGGAAATCATTCCGTGAGGCAGTGGCGACGGCAAGAGGATGAACAACAAGTTCGACGCGTGAGTGGCGTGCGGCCGCCTCCAGGGGCCCCTTCCTTCAACCGTTCCCTGCGCCTGCCCTCGTCGCGGCTGGCGGCAGCGCCAACTCCACGGCGCTGGCCTCCGTCCCTGGCTCGGGCTGCGGGCTGGACCCGGCCCAGGAGGCCGGCTGGGAGGAGGGAGCTGGGAGAGCGGGGTGCAAGTGTCCCGGGGACCCCAGGGCAGCCCGGACCGAGGGCGAGACGCCGGGACCGGGGAAGGGGCGGTTGTGCCGCCCGGAAGGAGATTTTCGGACGCCCCGCCCCGGCAGGCGCGGGGTGCGCGGCGGCGTGGAGGGCTTTGGGTGTTTCCGCAGCCTGGCCGCTTCTGAATTTCTGAAACCAGCTTCCCCACACGCTCATTCTGGCCTGCGCTGGTCACCTCTCCTCGCCGAGTCTGTTTTCTCATCTGCAGAGTGGGGACGGTAAAGAGCCCAGGTCGTAGAGTTGTGAAGATGCAGTGAGGTAATGCGGCCGGCGGCCGCTCTGTTGGACGGAGTTCTCCCCGTCTTCCTGAGACTCCTTCCTATTTCCTTTCTCCTCCCCCTCCTTTTCCCTTCAACACACTCCGGGAGTTGCTCGCCGCTGGCCCGGCGGGTGTACTTGTGGCCCCGTTCCGGACTTCTCTAGGTACCCTGAGTCCTAGTTCCAGCAACACTGTGGAGATGCAGAAAAGAAATGCGGAGTAATTTCGCATATTTCCCTCCAGCGATTGTTATCTCGAGGTAGATTATGTCTTAGCTGTCTTATAGGAATCTTGTAAATCTGTCCAGCAGCAGAAAAGTTGCCCAGTCTCTGAGACATCGTTACCCGAGCCACCTCAGTGCTCCGTTGTCCCTATAAGGGGCTTTATAAGGGTCACACCGCATACAATATGGTTTAATGCGTAAATCGCTAGAGCGATGTACAAATGTAAAGTGGAATGATTTAGTTCAGGTTGCGACCCACTGTTGCTGATGGGGAGTTAACTTCCCAGTGCAGTGAGCGCTGGTGTGCATATTCCCAGGTCCTGATCCTAGGGCTCCCGGTCTCTGGCAAGCGCCCTGCATCGGCCCCTCCCCATCACAAACCCCGCAACACCCAGCTCCAGACCAAAGTTCTGCTTCAGTGGAGCTGCCTGCCAGGCCTGCACCCTTTCCTCCACTAAACTGAACAAATCCAAATTTTATCTTAGGACACTTTATGGGTCATCTGGCCCAGTCCTACCCGAATTATTTGGAGCTCTGCAGTCAGCTAATTTAGGAATGGTAATCAAGGTTTCCAAGGGCAGCTTTCTAGGTACTTTTCATACAGTCTTTAAGAAAAAAAGATTTTATTTATTTTTAGAGAGAGAGGAAGGGAAGGAGAAAGGGAAAGAAACATCAATCAGTTGCCTTTCATGCTTCCCTGACCTGGCCTGCAACCCAGGCATGTGTCCTGACAGGGAATCAAACTCGTGACCATCTGGTTCTCAGTCCGCTGAGCCACACCAGCCAGGGCTCACATATTATTTCTAGCACTAACAATCCTGCAAAAGGGACCCTTGCCTCCTTTCACAGGTGAGGCAGATGAGGTGCTCTCAGCCCAGGTAGCTTGCCCCCAACAGCAGGAAGGACCATGTGGTGGGATTCAAACCCAGGTTTGTTGTTTAACCTTGGTTCAAGCACCTCTTGACAAAGATTAACCTGGGTCATTTATAATTGGTTCTGATTATTAACTATAACTTATACAGGGCCAGAGTTTTTTAATGTCCATCTTCCAGCTGTGCAGGGAAAAACCCAGCTTTCTTTCATTTGAAATTAGCAATTGAAGATAGCATTCTTGCCCCTAGTTTTTCTGTTGTTTTTGTTTTTCGTGCAAAAAGTCTGCATTCCCACACCATTGTGACATACTTGGCATACTTCTGCACCCTGCACCAGTGGTTCTGAAGGGTTTGGTTCAATTTTTAAAAGCCCTGTGCCTGGAGGTGAGTGCTGTAGCCTGATCAGGTGGGCTCAGATTAATGAAAAACTTGAGCCTCCTTCACTGCGTGGGCTCCACTTCCACAGACGTAACTGAAGACTGTAATTGCATCCTGCCCCTTTCGTCTGTCAGCTTGTCAGCTGCCATTGCCATTGATCCTGTTCGTGTGAAAGCCCTCAGGTCCTTTCCCCTGTGCTGCAGTCCCAGCTGGAGAAGCTGAGTTTTCAGATCCAGATGCCAGACCTTGATTGGTCCCTCCTCCATCTTTGTTAGCTTTTGGTTCATTCCTAACTGTTGTCTGAACCCATGATTTGGCACTCCTCTTACTCTGCTGGGTATTGCGTTGATTATAGAGATCCATTCACTAAGCATGTATTTTTTTTCTCCCACTGTCTGATGATAGACATAGAAAGATGAATTAGACTAAGTTCTTACCACAAGGAATCTGTCTAGTCCAAAAGTGTGAGGATGTACCTGGGCAGGAGCAAGTAATAGGTGCAAGTAATTTGCCTTAAGTGTAGGCTCCAGAGGGTAGGGGGGGTCGGTTAGCTCCACCCTCAAGAAATAACTGCACAAGGTGAAGGTCATTAGGGTTTCCCATTACTGTCTTAGAAGGGAGTCGGAAAGTATGGTGGAGTTGTGTTGTTTTTTTGCGACATAATTGTTTTTGTTGTCATTTTTTTCTTTTCTAGTAGTGATTAGCAGCAAAACCACTAAAAAGAAAGGACGTCCACGCTCTGTGTGGAATAGCACAAGGAGGGATGCTGGGTGACTGCCCCTCTTCAAACAAGACTTCAGGGAAGGGCACCCAGAGGATATAGTGGGGGCGGGGGCTGAGGAGAGAGGGAAATGGCTTATGCCCTAAGGAGGAGAGAGAGCCTGGGCGTGAGCAGTAGAAAAATCCACGACATGTTCTCAGTCAAGAGACAAAAAAACTGGCCATGCCAAGTATCCCTGGGACAAGCACAAACATTTATTTGGGGCTGTCCAGAAGAGAGGAGCTAGGCTCAGCCTAGGGAGAGACTAGGAAATATCTCCAGGAGAAAGTGGCCCTCAGTCACAGCTCTGAAGGACACTTTAAGAAGGGAAAGAGGGCTGACTCCGTAACAGGGCAAGGGGAGGTTGGGGAGCTGCAGATGGTGCACACTGCAGTGAGTGGAGCTTGCGGGACCAGGCAGGAGATGGTGTTGGCACTCGCAGGAGAGCTGGGCCTCTGTACCATGTGAGGCCCGAGTGCCTGTCCCCCACAGGCACTTGTGGTGTCTGATACTGACAGTAGGTGCTCAGTAAATGTCCTGGCACTTGGGTGCTAAACAGGCTCCTTTCGGAAAGGAAACCAAACCAACCCAAGTGTCACAAGGGGAAGGGACACAAGCACAGATTAGGTCTCCCAGAAGTGCAGGGAGGCCAGACCAAGCTAGTGAAATGACAGCATCACAGATACAGCCAGTCTCATCCCTGCTCTCTCCGCTGTCTGTTCCGTCCCCTTCCCCAGCTAGCTCCCTCTGCTTTCGCTCATTGTCTTTATTCCTTTGTGGCTTTTCTTGTGTGTTACCTACATGCCTGCTCCAGCTCTGGCTGTGTGCAGTTGTTCATCTTTTGGATGAAAAACTGAGAAGGAATCTGCTCATAACTTTGGGCGAGGCCCTGAAGTGTATGTATCGTCGGGGTAGACTGTCCTTTTGTCAGATGCCCTTCGTAGTCATGTCGTGTCTGGGGGTGGGGGCATGAACAGCAGTGCACGATCACCTGCGTGTATATCCTACAGCTGGGCCTGTGGAGTGGGCGGAGCAGGGGCCCCGACACGGGGCTGGCTCTTGAGTTCTGACACTGACAACGCTTTTCTGCACGCTAGGCAGTGAGGATTCGCAGGCCCAAAAAATAAAGTGCCTGACAGCAGGCTTCTGTTTCCGCATAGAGTAACATCTGAATTGTAATCTGAGTGTGTCTAGCACTTTCCTTGAGAATTACCTAATTCCACTCGACTAGGTAGTTATTAGGGCCAGGAAGGTGATTTCAAAGAATATCCTTGATAAGTTAATGGTCCAGCTCTAAGCAGCATTCTTATCAAATCACCTTCTGCTTCTCTTTCTGTCTGAATCTAGTGAACTTTGGGTGTGCCTGAAAGCTGTGGGGTAGTTTCACTCTTCAAAAAAGTGACCACTTGAAGGACATTTGACTGCTTATAAGGTGGAAAGGCATTCATTTCTTCTTTCAGTCATTTTCTCCCATTTATCATTAATGCAGCATCTTCCTGTCCTAGGTGCTGGAGATACAAAGATTCAAAGACACTGTTCTAGGGGATCCCTCCATCTAGGAAAAACAGGTGTGGGAGGCTGTGGGGGGAGTGGCGCCGGAGGTGGAGGGGTAGTATCTGCACAGAGCACAGACGTGGGTTGTAGATTGCTCCAGGGGGGCGGGGTGGAGGCCGGTAGGCAGGAGTCAGGTTCCAGAGTATCTTACATTTCATTGTACTTTGTCCTGCAGGGTGGGCATCAAAAGGAAAGGAACAGTTGAGAGTTTTGGGGTTTTTTAGCCTTTTTTTTTTAATCCTCACCTGAGGATATGTTTATTGATTTTAGAGAGAGAGGAAGGGAGAGACAGAGACACTGACATGAGAGAGAAACATCGATTGGTTGCCTCCGGTACACACCCCAACCGGGGATCGAACCCGCAACTTAGGTATGTGCCCTGATCGGGAATCTAGCCCGCAACCTTCTAGTGTACAGGATGATCCTCCAACCAACCGAGCAACCCGGTCAGAGCAGAGCGACAATGGAGTTTTGAGCATGGAAGTTAAATGGTCAGTTTGCATTTAGAAAGACCATGCTCGTGGCTGTGTGGAGGATGGGTAGAGGGCAGAGATGACTTGTGTTGGGGACTTACTGCAATAATTGAGGTGATGGGAAGCAGGCCTGAACTGAGGCAGCAGCAGTGGGGGAAGGTAGGAGAGGTGGTTAGAAGATGTGGCGAGAAGGATAGGTAAGTTTTTAAACTTCATTTGAAATGCCAAAGCAGTTGTTTAATTCGGAAACTCTTCTGATTATGGACTCTTTATTTTTGAACAAGAAAACAATCCTTAAACTGTTTACCTCTTTAAAAAATTTTTTTACATGTTTATCTTTAGAGAGATGGGAAGGGAGGAAGAGAGGGAGAGAAACATAGATCCATTGCCTCTCGCATGCCCCCAGCTGGGGACCTGGCCTGCAACCCAGGCACATGCCCTGACCAGGAGTTGAGCCTGTGACGTTTGGTTCACAGGCTGGCGCTCGATCCACAGAACAGCACCAACCAGGGCTAAAATGTTTACCTCTTGCTTCTTTGTGCAGCCTGTTAGGAAACTGGAAGATGATGCTTGCTGGAATTCACACATTAGCCGATGGGCATTTCATTTTTGTTTAACCCTCCTAATTGATTCTCTGCATCCCCTGGCCCTTCTCTGGTTTCATGGCCATATTTTGAGTGACTTCCGGCTGGTTACATGGTAGCGCATTTGACCTGGTAGCTGTGTGAGGTGAGTAGGAGTCAGTTCAGTCATGAGATAACATTGTTTTGCCTTTCCACATAGATTAAAAGATGATGACAGTGGGGACCATGACCAGAATGAAGAAAACAGCACACAGAAAGATGGTGAGAAGGAAAAAACAGAACGAGACAAAAGTCAGAGCAGCAGCAAGAGGAAGGTGAGTTCCGTGCTGGGCAGAGATAGTTGCCTTGGGACTCAGGCTCAACTGTCTCGCGGAACCTGTTTATCTGGAAGAGTCCAGATTAACGCGACTACTCGCTGTTGTGTAATAGCCGATTCTGTTCTCAGGAAAAGGTTACGGAGCCACTTGAGTGCATTCTGGGATGCAGAGTATTGGGGGGGGGGGCTCTGTGCACAGGGTGCCTCCCACCCCCACCCCTGGCCACCGCTGATGAGAATAAGTCAAGACCTGATCTGCTTGGGGAGGAAAGGTGGCAGATCTTGCAAAGGAGAAAGGTCAAGAGCCTTTTCCTCAGTGGGCTTTTATTAGGTTCATTTTACACAGGAATACAGGGAAAGCTCAGTAGTCATTGTCAGTCAGTGAGGATCAAACAATAAATAGCATACAAAGGACAACTAGGGCTTATTCTGAGTCAGGGTCTGTTAGCTAAAGGGCTACAAAACTTTGGGAAACAAACTCATTTCCTGCTCGGACCCTTATTAGAAAACAACATTCTTAGCAAAGCACGTTTCACAGGATTTTATGTATTCTTTCTTAGGCCTGATCGCCCCTGGAGAACCCGCCCTTTGCAGCACAGGGCTGCACCCACCTTCAGCGTTGTTTCAGGTTTAAGTCAGGCAGGGGAAGTAAGGCAGCCAAGAGATTAGGAGACTTCTCACAGGCAGAATGAGGACTCAGGCTGTGTCAAAGCCAAGGGGTGAGGGTCCATCACCCCCTTTTGCTATAGCCCCCCAAGTCCTTCTCTGGGGCTCCCTGTGATTGTGCCTGTCTTAGGTTGTTACTTCCTTGAGGAATCTTACCCATCCTTGGCTAACGGATTATGCACTGGGGGCCAGGCAGGGTGAAATAAAAGGGGCTGAGGGGGAGTCCCTGCCAGGGAGATAAGCTTTGTCTCCTTAGTGGCTTATGGTTGCTCACTCAGCCTTAGCCACGGGGCAGCGTGGTTCCCAACATCGTGGAGCTCCTCCCTTAGCATAGGACCCAGAGGTGCTGCCTTGCTTTCCAGTGCCCTCCTGGCCTGAGGTAGGGGAGGATAACCCTGGGGTTAACACAGCTGTTTGCTTCATAAGCTGCTGCTGAGTGTTTCAGATCCTGCACATCCCTTGAAATTAGTGACTTAGAAAAGAGACAATTTGGAGAATTAGCTGGGCCAACTTCTTGAAGAATCAAAGCAGCCCTAGCCTGTGTGTCTTGGTTGGAGTGTCATCTGGTAACCAGGGGTGTCCACCCTTTTTGGTGTCTCTGGGCCACACATTAAGTACATTGTGACACATAATCACAAGAAAAATCCTGTAATGTTTTAAATGTATTTACAGTTTTGTGTTGGACTTCATTCACAGCCATCTTGGGTGGCCTGTGGACTCCAGGTTCGATACTCCTGTGCCCCAAAAGATTGCAGGTTCATTTCTGGATCGTGTCCCAGGCCTCAGTTGCAAGTTCGGTCCCTAGTTGGGGTGGGTATGAGAGGCAACCATTTGATTTTTCTCCTCCTCCCTTTTCTTCTTTCTAAAAAAGAAAAATCAAATAAACATGTCCTTGGATGAGGATTTTTTTAAAAATCAAAGCAATCATTATTGCTTTATTCAACAATATTGAGCCCTGGCTGGTGTGGCTCAGTGGATTGAGTGCTGGCCTGCAAACCAAATAGTCACAGGTTCGATTCCCAGACAGGGCACATGCCTGAGCTGCAGGCCAGGTCCCCAGTGGGGGGCACATCATCGACAATGACATATTGATGGTTCTCTCCCTCTCTTTCTCCCTCTCTAAAAATAAATAAATAAAGTCTTTAAAAGAACCCCAATATGGAATATCCTATAGATACAAGCATTTTAGGTGCTAAGGGGACACAGAGATGAATGAAACTGGATCAAGGAGATGACATTTAATAGTGGTGATAACAGTAGCTGACATTTATCGCATGCCTACTATGTGCCAGTCACTGTGCTCAGCACTTCATTTCTGTTCATTTCTTTGATCCTCTCAGCACCTCTATGAGATGATTATTATTATTTTCCTCGTTTTTCAGATAAGTAGCTGAGGCACAAACAGGTTAAACAGCTCGCCCTAGGTCACTAGCTAGTAAATGAGAGAGTGTCATAGAGGAGGAGGTGCTGGACCTAGGACTCTGTTGAGATAAGGCATAAGCACAAACACTTGCGAAGGAGAAAGTTACAGAAGCCGTCAGAACAGAGATAGACTGTTATAGGGGCTTGGAGTCAGGTAACCAGCCGCTGCAGCAGGTCACTGTGTGAGCAGCACCTGGGGCGCACGGTGGGCCACAGACCAGGGAGGTGGTCGGGGCGGTGCCAAAGTACGTCCTCCCCGTCCCAGAGCACGTGAAGAAGGGCCAGTTCTAACACGCCTCCTTCAATTCCCAGGCTGTTGTCCCTGGACCAGCAGAGCACCCCCTGCAGTACAACTACACGTTCTGGTACTCCAGGAGGACCCCCGGCCGGCCCACCAGCTCCCAGAGCTACGAGCAGAACATCAAACAGATCGGCACCTTTGCCTCAGTGAGTATTTAGTGAGCCTGTGGTGCATCCATGCCTGTCGCTGTGTTTCCTCACCCTCCCGCCACCTCTCTGGGGTTCTGGGTTCCTTATGTCTCAGGTCAGATTTGGTCATTCTCAGGTTTCCCAGTATACACCCATAGGCAACCAGTATGTGAATTGTGGGGTTGATTAGCAGGGGACCACACGAAAATGCAGGTTTGTTTAAGTAGATCTTTATTGAGTCCTAACTGTGTGTAGTGTTTGGGGTAGGGGAGCTATAAAATTTTATAGTACATGATATACTCACAAGGCTTGATGATTAAGTAAAGAGTAAACTTCAGAAGGTTCTTTTGTATTTTTTAAAATATATTTCTCTAAGATTTCATTTATTTGTGAAGGGGAAGGAAGGGAGAAAGAGAGGGAGAGAAACAGTGACCCCCAGCCTGGGACCTGGCCTGCAGTGCAGTCATGTGCCCCGACTGGGAATCGAACTGGCAACCTTTCAGTTTGCCGGACAATGCTCAATTCACTGTGCCACACCAGTCATGGCGATTCTTTTGTGTTTTATATAACCTCCCGCCAGGGTTTTGGATCTGTTAGTGATGTGTGTATAGAGTAGCATCTTCCTTTCTGTCTTCAGAAAGAAAATGAAATCTCTTAAAAATATTTCTGTGGGTCCCGACGGCACAGGGAGCCCAGCTGTCTTGTCTCCCTCCCAGGTGGGTAGCTGGATTTGCATTCCCTGAGACGCTGTCTGCAGCTCGTCGTGTGCTTCCTGTGTGCTGCACCTTCCACGTCTGGGCAGAGTCAGATGCGGAGTTTGTTGCTTTCTTGAAATTATTGGGGTATTTGCCCTGTTTGAAATGCAGACATAGAAGAGGCACTGATAGACAATGAGTGTTAGAGTAGAATAGTGAAGAGGGAGTACACAGTAGCAGCCACTCTGTGTAACTGCCATTAAGCGTTGGGGTGGCCCTGTGAGGTCGGCGGTGGTGTCCAGACCGTACAGATGAGGACGTGAGATTGGACTAAGTGCTCTAGGTCTCAGCGGTAATGTACTCGACCAGGTGGGGCGGCTGCGAGAGCCAGGCTGCAGAACCCGTACACTCTCCCCATGCACCAGGATTTGATGGGAGGCGCCAGTTTTCAGATACGGGCTTGCTAGACAAGCTCTACTTATTTGTCCGTTTACTATTGGGTATAACTGGTAGGTAGTTCATCTTATTACTGAGAGAAGAGATACATGCTCTGTCATCACTGGTAAATGTAGGCTCTTTTTTAGCTTCTTTTTTTTTTTCTTTTAAGGTTTTATTTATTTATTTATTTATTTTTGAGGAGAAGGGAAGGAGAGAGGGAGAGAAATATCAGTGTATGGCCGCCTCTCATGTGTCCCCTGCTGGGAACTGGCCTGCAATTCAGGCATGTGCCCTGACCGGGAATCGAACCGCCATCATGTGGTTCACAAGCCCATGCTCAATCCACTGAGCTACACCAGCCAGGGCAAATGTAGCCTCTTTTGAAAATTAAAGACAGCTTGTGCACTAGAGCATATTTGGTTCAAGGAACGTTTGTTGAGTTAATTCAAGGCACGAGTGGGGTTCTAAAATGATCCAAGACCTTGCGCTTAGGGAAGCAGGACCTGGCCAGGAATTTCCAACACAGGAGACAGCCGTGCTGTTGAGAAGAGCTGCAGGGCCACTTCCACGCACTGTGTTTCTGAATGGCCCGGGCAGTCACTCCTGCAGTGTTCAAGGTCAGCTCCGTTCTGGCTCTTCTGAACTGGTCACAGCCGTGTTGTGGCCTTTTGTGCAGGAGTGCTAGCCGTCACAGTGCCGTGGCAGCCTCGGGGCTGTGGACAGCTGGTTGAGCATGTGCGGGTCAGAGAAGACGCTGAACTGGAGAGGGAGCTCTCACCGGGGTCCTGTTGGTGCCCTTTGTGGGAACCATAGATACTTCTCGCCGTTTTCTTCCTCTTTTAAGGAAAGCCTAGTTCACCCACCTTGGGAAAGGAGGGTTTTTGTTTTCTTTGGTGCACATATCAGGTTGAGTAGATATTCTCGTTGGTGCCGTCTTGGGTTAATTCTTTCATACTTGCTGGATGGGTGATGTTGTTCAAGTTCACTGCTGTGTAATTCAAGGCAGTAAGAGATGGCCCCCTATATTAAATTCCTTGCAGGGAAGTAATTACATTGTGAAACCCTTTAGTAAATCCAAAGTGGTATTTCCCCTTTGTCCTTAATCATAGTATTTAACAACATGTAAAAGTTCTCGAAATCAGGTGACTCAGAAGGCAGTGGTTTAACATGGAAAGAGCAGTGGGCTTGAGGGGGTCACAGGGCATGTTCTCTGGTGCCTGACTCCATGGGTGGGGCAGGTTCTGACACCCTGTTCTCTACTCTGTGCAGAGGAAGGTTGTTCTGAAGTCTTTTCTACACCTCATTAATTGAGTCTGAATACTTTTAAAACATTTTTTTCAATTAAGAGTTTCAGAAACCATAATTGCCTGGACAGAAGGGGGGGAAAGTCTCTCAAAGTTAGTTCACGTTTTTGAGCTGCCTGCCCCACCTCCCATGGCTCAGATGTGAGGTCGTGATTGAGACCAAAGTCTGGCCTGAGTGCAGAGCAGGGCTGAACTGGCCGTGCAGCGGTGCTCATCGAGGAACTGGGGTGGCTTGTGCGCCTTCCCTCCACAGCCCTCCCCAGTCCCTAATCGCAGCGAGCCGCAGGGCCTGGGGGCGCGCTTCCTTCCTTTCCGCTCTGTCTGGGTGGAGAAAGGTGACTGCTTGTGCACCCTTGACCACTCAGCGTCCCAGATCACCTTAAACAGGTGTGCACAGCAGCTGCCAAGATGAGATGCTGCCAGTGGCATTCATTCCTGACTTGGCTGTCACATGAGGCACTGCCTGGGTCCTTGTCCTGTAGAGGAGCTGAAGGGACCTTGGTTTCACACAGCGGGTGGTCCCCTTCTCCTCAGTTGCCATCCAGGTCTAGAAACATGGCCTGAACCTCTGTTTCTCTCCAGACTGGTCCACATTTTTTTTCTTTCCTCCTCTAAAATGTGCCCCCTTCCTGGCCAGCACTTAGTAGGTGTACATGTGAATCACAGAGGAATCGGGAATCAGCCTCTCCTCTCAGCACCCCGCTAAGGAACGGGACCAGCTGCACCAGACAGAGAAGCGTTTCTGCTTTCCCCGCAGGGCTGTGGAGGAGGGTCAGGGAGCCCCAAGAGTGTTCCAGTGTAAAAGGGGCTTCCTGGGGACAGGCTGGTGATCTCCGGGGCAGGTGCAGGTCGAGGGCTGGCTGGAACAGGTGAAGGATCAGTCATGGGGACATTGACTGTTTTTGCACACTCATTCACATAGTAATAACTGTGCCGGTGCCCAATGGGTACTGGGACCACTGGGGGTTACTTTGTAAGGGGTGCAACTGACCACTGTGCTATGTACCTGAAATGAAACAGTACTGAACGCCTGCTGTGACTGAAGTGAGTGAAGAGGGACTTTAGCCCTAAGTGTGAGAGGCTGAGTCCTGCTCGGTTCCGGACTGTCCTGGCCTTACCTGAGGCACCGTGGGTGCTCCTATCATCAGGCTTAGTAACTAACAGGACTGAAGTGCATCTCATCGTTGCTGATGCTGGATTTGAGTGAACAGTCTGTGATCAAGGGGACGAAAGGGTTTCCCTTGCATGGAACAAGGTCCCCATAGCAGGTCATGGGTGTCCTGCCGCCTCTGCAGGAGGGAGGGCGTGTTGATGGATAGACTCTGCAGGAGGGAGGGCGTGTTGACGGATAGACTCTGCAGGAGGGAGGGCGTGTTGACGGATAGACTCTGCCAGCAGAGGCCCTGGCTGAGGCTGGCATTTCTCACCAAGAGGGGTTGTTCTTGGGTCAACAGTGTTAGGTTTTTCTTTCATCCAGCTTACCACACAAGCCTCCAAATGAAAATGTACCCTTCAGAAGTGTAGCCTGAAACTGTGTCTTCTGTGTTTATTCTCTCTTAGGTAGGGCTTGTGTTCATTCATTCATAGGAAAAAGTCCCATCTGTTGCATCCCGGGCCTTCTCTCCACAGGTGGAGCAGTTCTGGCGGTTTTACAGCCACATGGTGCGTCCCGGGGACCTGACTGGCCACAGTGACTTCCATCTCTTCAAAGAAGGAATTAAGCCCATGTGGGAGGTGAGGATTGAGGGCCTCACACTGTTTTTCTGAGCAAGTTGTTTTTTGTTTGGGGTTTTTGTTTTGTTTTTTCAGCCTAGCCAAGGCTTAAAGTGTTTTAAAGTCTTCTCTCAAAGTTGCATCGCTGTTTGGCACCTCCTTCGGACAGGGACCTCCAGGGAAAGGCACGGTGCCATCGCGTGTTGGGGCTTGGCGCTGGGTGGTCTGAGAGGGTGTTGCAGTGACATTTGGGGGTGTTTTTTATATTACCCTTATTCCCATAGAGCTGGCAGTGTGTGTGTTATATTACCATGGCATATGTAAGATTAAAGTGGGTAAAAAATAAGCTCATAGGCAAGAACGGGAGCCCTAGAGCTGAGCTTTGTGATCTCGTTGCTTTGCTGAAATCCATCTCTAGTTTGGTGCCATGGTGTTTTTCTAGAAGACAAGTGCGATCACACCCCACACCCTGCCCTGACCGAAATTTAAAATGTCACACGGCTCTCCCTTGCTCACATGCTCTTGCAGCTGGTTGGCCTTTCAGGCCCCATCCCCCATCCTCTCTGAATCATCCCTTCCCTCGTCCCCATCCCCGTCCCCATTCAGGCAGAGTCTGCGCTGGACGCGCCCCGCAGTGCCTCCAGGCCCTCCGCCTGCTCTGCCTGGCTGACTCCTGGGTCCCTGGAGGCCCAGCTGCTACATGCTTCCTCCTTTTTATTTTTATTTTTTATTTATTTATCTTTAGAGAGGAAGGGAACGAGAGAAGGAGAGAAATACCAATGTATGGTTGCCTCTGGTGAGTCCCCTGCTGGGAACTGGCCTGCAACCCAGACATGTGCCCTGACTGGGAATCGAACCGCGATTGTGTGGTTCGCAGGCCCACGCTCAATCCACCGAGCCACACCAGCCAGGGCTGCTTCCTCCTTTTGAGTCTTTCTTTCTTTTTTCTTTTTCTTTTTCTTTTTAAGAATATGGTTTGTTTTTGTTTTTTTTTGTAGATTTTATTTGATACAGCAGTGCTGGTCAGACTATACTGCTATAGTTAACGTTCTCGTCCGTCTGTCTCCTCAGCTAGACTGTGTCTGGGAGAGACTGGCTTCCTGTCTGTGTATTTGTGACATGGTGACACTGGCACACTTGTGGCACACTCGTGGCAAATGAAGTGAGGAGTGATCTGTGTTTGGAATCTGACATCATTTCGATTCCTAGTTGCAAAAAAGAGGGTCCTTTTTAAAGTGTCTGTTGAGCCGTTGTTTGAACTGGCTTGTATCAAGACCCCCACCCACCTTGTTTTTCTCTCCTCTCCCTACCACCATTTTTCCTATAAAGTTGGATAACTGGAAAGTGACAAGACCTCTGAGGGATCACACCAAAGAAAAAAGAGCTGTGAAACTATATTTTAATTTTTTGCTTTCTGTCTTTTGATAGGATGATGCAAATAAAAATGGTGGCAAGTGGATTATTCGGCTACGGAAGGGCTTGGCATCCCGCTGCTGGGAGAATCTCATCCTGGCCATGTTGGGGGAACAGTTCATGGTTGGGGAGGAGATCTGTGGGGCTGTGGTCTCTGTCCGGTTCCAGGTAAGCCCCCCGTGGGCAGGTCTGGTTTCACGTGCTGCCTCTCCTCGCCCCCTGCTCCGGCTTGCTTTGATGAGCCCTCTTGTCCTCCTGCAGGAGGACATCATTTCGATATGGAACAAGACCGCCAGCGACCAGGCAACCACAGCCCGAATCCGGGACACGCTTCGGCGAGTGCTTAACCTACCTCCCAACACCATTATGGAATACAAAACCCACACCGACAGCATCAAGTACGTGTTGGGGAGGGTTGGGGGGACGTGTCCCTGAGCTTAGCAGAGGTCCAGAGGAGTGTGGTGGAACAGGGGACTGCCTTATGGAGAAGGGACAGACCAGTCTTCCCCTCTAGTGCTTCTGGCCACTGGTAGCAGCTCTTTACTGGTGAGGCTCCTGCACCGCAGCAGAGAGCGCCCCCTGCAGGACCCCAGCTGCAGTGTCTGGGCTGGCTTTCCTCACACGTCTTTCATGGGCTGGCTGCCATCTTCAAGCGAAGATGTCTTCAAGGGCTCTTCCTTTTCCTGCCATTTTTTAAGGTCACTTCACTGAACAAGAAAGTCCTCCCAGTCCACTCCCGCCCCCACTTTTGCATGTCTTTTTAACCTGTTAGCTCCTGTCTGTCTCTGTGCCCCGTGGAATTACCTTCTTATCAGGAATGTGACTCCATTTCCTGGTGTGCAGAGCTGAAGTCCTAGAGGAAGCAGAATAGTGTGTTTGTGCGGGTGGAATCCCAGGAAGCACGAATGCCAGTGGGGAGATGAGCTGGGCTTTGTTCTCTGCCGAGGGCTCTGGGCAGTGGAGCGGGCGTCCACACACGGCAGTCACTGGCCAGGGCAGTGAGCGAGTCTTAACTGCGGCCAGGCCCTCTGAAGGAGTTGGGGGCGTGGCCATCAGACTTCTCAAGGCCGTGGGGAGCCGGCGATGGGGAGTCAGGACGTGTAGGTCCAGGTGCTCTCCTTTGACTCCAGCATCAGCATGTGTCTTTGGCAAGTCTCTGCCACTCGGCCTCAGTTTCCCCCTCTGAAATGGGGCTGACACTACTCCACCTGACAGGGTTGTTGGGAGGCTCACTGAATCTTTGTCCTGCGAGGTCCTCAGGAGACTGCGCTCACAGGGCCAAGTATTAGTATCGCTGTCATCGTCATCATCATCAGACATGATACCATCATGACGTTCCGGTTAAAGATGAGTGTCAGCCCAGTAGTGGTGTTCAGCAGACAGCCCATTTGGGAGTGTTCCGCATGCATTCACAGATGGCGGCGTTAGCTGGAAGTAGCCAAGGGCCTGTTTTTAACCCTAACCCTGCCACAGGAGTTGGTCCGTAGGCAGAGGGTTGGGTGTGACTCATCGCAGTCCCCAGGAGCTGGACTGAGCGGTCCTCTGTTAGCATTGTTTCCTCTGAGGAGGTTTTTCCTATTCGTTATTCTGAGGGTGGAAATAGTGTCTGCCCTCCTGGCCAGGTTTAGTGCAGGATGGCGGCATCCACACCTGCCTTTTCTAGGACTCTGTGTTCAAGGTTCCCAAACTGCCCCCCAGTTCGGCCCCCACCAAAGCAAGCTTTTCACTGGGATAGGAAAGGGAAAGAGGTATTTTCCAGCTCTCCCCTCTCCACTGGTCTCCCTCTCTCATACCCTGAGGCAGTTCTTCCTGACTTCTGCAGCAATGTGTTCAAGTCCTTAAAGAGGCTGGGGGAGCCTGCGGGCTTTTGCCTTAGTCTGCTGCGCTGCTTTATCCAGCCTCTGCCTAGCACTCCAGCCCTGCAGCAACAGGGACCGGAAAACCCTCCTTGACACCCAGATGCTACTTTCCACGCGTCTCCCTCCCTTTCCTCCCCCAATGTGCCGACCTTTTGCACTCCCACTAGAATGCCAGGCAGGCTGGGCCCCCCAAGGCTCCTTTTTCAAAACCTCTGGAAGCCGCGGTTGAATGGGCCATGACCCTCTCCCTGTGTGGATGGCACCGTCATTGAAGCTGGCATCATCGGAGCCCCTTGTTCTGTTGGCGTGCTACCTGGAAGACCCTTCTGTCCTGGACAAGAGGAATCGGAGGAGCACTTTATGTTTTAAGAACAGGCTGACACAGCAGCTACCACAACAGCTGAGATCACTTAATAAATGGTGCTAAACTAGCTTGTCTCATGCTCTTGCTCTTTGTGGCGCATCAAAGGAGTGGCCTTTCAGACTGACTGTCACCATGTTAAGGAACGGCACAGACTTCTCCCTGAGGGCCATTGGGGGAATGCAGCCTCATTTCCATAAGCCCACCGCACAGTGTCCCGTGGTGTTTCGTTCCACTTCCGCTGAGGGCTCACATAATGAGGTGACATCTAACCCAACATGAGACCCTGTTTTCTGGTACTTGAACTTTAGTTTCCATCTGGCCACACTGATGAACGAGAACCGAGTGGTTTCTGAGGTAGAGTTCAGCTGGAAGGTCGTTAAGGTTGGAAAGGGGGGTCCTTGGCTTTCGCTTCGCTGGCTTTGTTTGCCTTTACTTCAGAGACAGCTCTTGCTTGGAGGTGAAGTCCTGCTTCCATCTGTGCGTGTCTGTACGTATGTAGCTTCCTTGCTTGGTGCTGACGGGGTCTTCTCACTGCCAGAGCTGCCTAAGCCCCAAGCTCTCTGCCAGCCTCTCCCTTGCGCTTTCCCTGTAGAGCCAGGTCGTCATCCTCTTTGAGCCCCCTCTGCCGGCAGGGCCTCCGGGGCCCAGCCCTTCCCTTTCTCCCAGGCGGTTGTGCCTCGGGAGCCGGGCTGGGGTGACTTCTTCTTCCTCTGTGAGTCTGCTCCTTAGGGTTGCTGACTGCAGCGCGTGCCAGCCCCTCACGTGCTTTGTGGCTTGGCTTGTGTGGCCCACAGGCCCTGACCTGCATGCACAGATTGCAGTGAGCCTCATGTTACTTTCGGCTTTCTTGAGAGCTACCAACTAAACCAAAAATAAACGTTTTTGCAGACCCTGGGTCAGGTTGCCTAACAGCATCTGTGAAGGTGGCCGTGGGCAGATATGGGGGTTTCCAAAGTGGCTGTTCCATTTGGCAGCGCCACCCTGGGCTTGTGCCATCCTGATGGACCATCGGGCTCCATGTGGCCTGGCGTCCCACAGGACACAGTTGGGAGCAGTGTCCTTGGCTCTGCCCTCAGGAGCAGTTTGTGTCATTGCTGCTTTCCTGGGAAATGGGAGGTGTGTTGGTTCGTGGAGGTGCCTGTTCTCTGATCTCAGCATTTGTGATTACCACTTAGGGCCTTTCTCCTCTTGCCTCCATTAGTGTGTCATGTGTACCGGCCTTCATTTCAGCTCGTGTAACCGGTCCAGGGGATAAGTGTAACGTCACCTTCCTGAGCCAGGGTTCATCACAAAGCACCAAACTGAGCTTGAGACCCCTCTGGTCCTTGCCACATGTGAGCAGACATCAGAACCTGCTTCGTGCCCTTCCTCATGGCTCTCGCACAGGGATGGCTTTGTTTAAGCCAAGGGACAGCAGCTGCTGGGACTTGAGAATCAAGGAAATGAAGGAAGAAGCACTCTGGAGAACAGTCCCAAGTATTTTGGAAATGGTGAGGGGACTCTTAAGAGTAGCCTAGATTCTCAGGCAGATGGACCTCTACCTTGCTACATTTCTGTCCAATTTCCATTGTCCTTTTTTCAACTGCTCAGTTTCTCCAGCCTGCCCCTCACACTGCTTGTGGCCTTTTCTTGCTGTGCTTGCGCTCCTAGGAGAGCTGAGGGGCAGTCACTGCCACGCTCAGCACCCAGGCTGCTTAGCTGTGGAGGGGTCGCCTGCCTGCTGCCTCCTGCTCTTGTGTTGCCAGCAGTGGGCCCCATAAGAGTGAGCAGGTCCCAGTGAGAAATGGGAGACCAGTTAGACCGAGTGTTCACCCAGGTGCATGGCTCCTGTTAATGAGGCCAGTCACAGCTGAGGCTCTGTAGGTTTGGGTCCTTGTAGGCATGAGGTGACTCGCTGCATCCTTCATTTTGAAAAGCAGTCTCCTAACACAGACTTGCAACCCAGAATCATGGGCACACCGGGCTAACACTGGGCAGAGAGCCCACACAGCAGCAGTCTTCTGTGCTGCCTCTTTGGAATAGGCCCATGATCCCTTTGTGCGTCTGGCCTGGAACGGAAGCGGGGAAGACAGGGCCATCTTCACGCAGGGGCCACCGTGGTGGGGAGACTGACAGCTCCCTCTGCAGAGAGAGTTGAGGGTAGGTGAGTTCTCTTTATTTCTTTATCCTAGAGGAGAAACGGATCAAGTCATGGGGAATTTCCTTAGCCTTGTCCAGATTTCATTGTACTGAAACATCAGCCTTTGTGGGCCAGGGCCAACCCTCCCCTCCGTTGTGGCTAAATCATAGCCCGATGGTTCTGGGCCATACTGGTGCAACTGCTGGCCTGGCTTAGGAAATGTGTCCCTGCTGATGTTCCAAGTAAAGGAAGCCCAGGCTAGCAGGAGGCTGAGCTTGTCCTGTGGGTGTGGAGGGCCAGCTGAGTGCGAGGCTGTGAACCAGGCCTTGGGGGTGGGGGGTGGGGTGGGTGAAAGTTCAGGGCAGCACAGAAATGAGCTCTCTGCTCCCAGAGTTTGCTTTCCAGTAAGTGAGCTGAAACAAGAGTGGTCTTCAAAGGACTCTGCTAACCTGTTATTTGAGTTTGTTCAGAATTCCCTGTGGGCTATATTCACCTCAGCAATTTTTTTAGAAGCTTCATTCATATGACACTTTTTTGACATTTAACTTTTTTCTTTCACCTTTAAAAGAAGCACATTTTAGTATTACCTAATATGCCTGTGACACCACGTGGAAAATAGGCCGTTTTTCCTCGCTTTAGCTTGTTGGTTTGCTCGTAGCCAGAGTGATGGATGGTCCCAGTGAACGTGACCAGCTGCTTTGTTTCCACCGAGCCCGTGTGAGGGACGTCCTTTACCTGGGTTCTTCAGGCCAAGGTTTAACATGAGGACGAAACTTGTGAAGGAAGAGGGAGGGCGGTTCTCTGCGGGAACGGGTCAGAGGGCGTCTGAGGTCCATGTGTCTGCAGGTTCTGGACACACAGCTGCTCTGTCGGGACTAGTGTAGGCCTTCCGAGAAACAAAGGAATAAATGAGAGTAAGCTTCCACATAACCATGTCATTTCTTGTGGACACTGAAGTTGCTTAAAACAGAATTTAAAGCTCACTGTTAAGACGAGAGGGGTTTCCTGGGTCATTGCCCCAGCGTCGGATTTGCCTTTGCCTTATGTGCCTTCCTTAATTGGGAATGAAGAGCGAAGTGGCCTTCTAACGTCACACATGGACTCACAGAGCTCCTCCCTGCACGGCCATCACCAGAGCGGGCTGTGGGACAGATGTCTCGCTGTGGAAGCTGCACTGACGGACTGGTGCGCCTGCCAGGCAGGCCTGTGCTTCTCTCAGCTCAGTCCGTGTGTGTGCGCAGCTTCGGTGATGCCGGCTGAAGAAACCGTCTCCGCGCGCTGCCCCTTGTGTGAGAGGCGGTGGGGCGCTGGCTTGTGAGGACACCGACAGAACCGCGTCGGTGTTGCCCGGGAGAGTGGGTTTGCACTGCCAGGTCTCTGTACTCAACCCCTCCCCCGTTTAAAAAGAAGAACAAAAGCTTCCTGTAGGAGTCCTGGTAAGAAAGTGTGCTTCAGTGGCTGTAGCCTAAACCTGTCGAGAGTGACAGTACGTTGTCACTCCTTTAAACTAAGGGTGCAATGATTCACAAACGGGAATCTTCTAAATTTAGATTTAGAAGCCCCAAACGACCCATTATGTGCATAATTGCCAGGAAACTTAGCAGACATCTCATCCATAATGGGGCCGAAAAGTGGCCAGGATATTTTCTCGTAGCTCTCTGACAAAATTTGAGGTGTATCAGGGCTCCAGATGCCTGAGGACTCTGCTGTCTTTGCGGCCGGCAGTCACCAAGGACCTCTCTGGGGCACCGGCCTGAGGGGCTGTGCCCCTCGGTCACACTCCTACCCCTCCCTGACCCCAGTTTCTGCATGAGTTCATCAGCCTGGAAGTTGTCATGGGCCTCGTTCCCTGGAGATCGAGAACTGCTGTGGCCTACACCGCTTGAACTTTAAGATGATCACACGGGTATATTCAGAAATGACCGGTATAAATTTGGGGTCTGATGTTAGAGGGTCAGAAAGTTGGAAATGTGAGAGCAAAGGAATGCAGAGCAGTGTCCCCCTCGCACCTCTAGACGTGATGCCGTTGGGCACCTGCCTCTGCCTTCAAGGTGAGGCCTGGCGCAGCAGAGCCGTTCCTGCCACCCGCCCCGCCTCCCTGCTGCCCTTTGCCCCAGTGAGTGGGAGGTGTTGCCCGTGATGGTGGAGCTTAGCTCTGCCCTCATTGGCCTCCCTGGTGGACTCGTGGGAGGATGGGTTACAAAACCTCGAGGGAACAGTGAGCGAGGGCCGGAGTTCACCAGTGGAGCAGCCAGGACAAGTGCCAACTGTCCCTGAAAGGCACTGCCCTCCCTGCAAATCTGAGGGCGAGTCCAGGTGGGAAACCTCACAGCTGTGCTTCCGGGTATCGGATGGGCTGCACTCGACCTTGAGGGTATCTGAAGCGGGGTGTGGGGTGATGTGTCTTCTCTTTGTTGTTAAAAAGCTTTTGATCTGAATGTGCTATTGTGTTTTTTTGTCTCTGGTTTGCCAGGGCCTGGGAGGAGTTTCATGGCCTGGTGAACAGCAGCGGCCGCTGATCGGACGCTCCCCTCTGTCTCTCACACTCAGGGTAGGGCCTCGTCTATTCTCTGTAACCCCGTGACGTACCTCTCAGCTGTAGGGCCCCTCTTCCCAAGGGGCTGTGCTCTCCCCATGTACCCCCCAGCCTTGATCTGCCCACATTATTGAGTCAGCTCCAGCCCCTCCTCTGGCTGATGCTCACGGTCTCAGTCCAGACCCACTGGACTGCGATGCTCCCTGGGCCGCATGTCTCCCGGTGAACGCCTGGGCAGGTTGCTCAGCCTCACCCTACCTCCCTTCTCTCGTTTGGGAGGGAGGGTCCACGGACTAACACCTCTCTGGCCTCCTCCGATGCCAGCATTTCATGGTGATGAATGTGCCACAAATCCTTTTTCTTTGGCTCAGACGTGGCCATTTGTAAGCTATCTGGCAGTATCCTGTGACTAACATGGGGCAGGTGAGACTTTTGTCTCTTGTCTGCTGGGGGTTTGTCAGTTGTGAGGGGACAGGGGTAGAAGGGTGGGTTTGCACAGTGAAAGGCTGGGGCGGATGCAGGGCTCTGTGGGAGATAGAGAGCTCTGGGTCACACTGTGACTGTACCATCGCATGCTGGCAGGCAGGGAGAGACCCTGGGACAGCAGCATGGGGTCAGCTGGAGCGTTCACGGACATTTGCATTCCAGTGAAGGGCATGCCAGGTTCAGGTCCGCCGCTTTAGAGAGGACACTGGGAGCACTTACTCTGGATGAGGAGTGGACGGAGAGACAGTGTCTGTGTGTGCTGACCCAGGAGCGTCTTCCTGGACCGGACCAGCCCCTACTCTCCACCATCCCTGAGAAACGGAATTTCTTAGGGTGGAGCAGAACATGTCGACTGTAGTAGCTGCTTCAGAATTCTGCCTTCACAGGGAGGAAATGAGACTTTTCCAAGAGAAGGAGACCTGCATTCCTCAGGTGGGCTGGACGAGCGGATGACACAGGGATAGAAGCAGGTGGCCAGGGGTCTGAGGACTGTGTGGATAAACAGTCCCAGAGTTGCCGCACACAGGATGATGCCACTCACACCTCCTATTGTACTAGTTTAATTCCCCTATGATAAATTCCATTTTAGATGATAATGCTAGATTTTTTAAGTTTTTTAAAAAAAAACGTTTATTGATTTAGACCCTGGCTGGTGTAGCTCAGTGGATTGAGCCCAGGCCTGCAAACCAAAGGGTCGAAGTTCCATTCCCGGTCACGGCACGTGCCTGGGTTGTGGGCCAGGTTCCCCAGGAGGGGGCGCACGAGAGGCAACCACACATTGATGTTTCTCTCCCTGTCTCTCCTTCCCTTCCCCTCTCTCTAAAAATAAATAAATAAACTCTTTAAAAATGTTAATTATTGATTTTAGAGAGAGGAAGGGGAGAGAGGGAGTGAGACAAACATTGATGTGAGAGAAACATCCGTTAGTTGCCTCCCACATGTGCCCCAACTGGGGATTGAACCCACATACCTAGGTAGATGCCCTGACCAGGGATTGAACCTGCAGCCTTTTGGAGTACAGGCTGATGTTCCAACCAATTGAGCCACACTGGTATGGGCTAGATGATAATACTAGGTTTTTTAAAGTTGAAATGTAAAAGGTTTCTCTGCCATTTGTGGTCAACATGGAATTCTGGGATGGCTGCTAATATGCCAGAAAGGATGGAAATGACATCAGCTGTGCAGTTACATATACTGATTTGCAAGCTGCAGAGCAGGCGTTTGAGGTACATTAAGTTTAATTTCCAGAGGCCTGCGTCTATGATGGAACTGTTTTAATTATGTTACCATATTTAATTATGTGTAAGTTTTTTTGCTTTTAATATCCCTATAATTGGAATGCTTACAGTGAAAGTGATAAGAAAGATTTTTGTCCCAGTTTAATTAGCAATATTTACTTCTTAAAGTACATAAAATGACACCTTAGAAGTCAATAGCATTAATAACATCTTAGGTTCCATGCAAAAACACTTTAAAATGAAATTGGAATAGTCAGAAAGAGAGAAAACTTATTCCCTCTCCCCTTAGTTACAACTAAATCCCCCAGATAAAATATCGAATTGCTTTGGAAAGTCCTATCTTTGCGTGATTGCCATTTTATAGTCTCTGTGTTCTCCCCTTCCCCCGTTTTTTTTTTTTAAAGATTTTATTTATTTTTAGAGAGAGGGAAAGGGAGGAAGGCAGGGGGAAAGAAACATAGATGTGTGAGAGAGACATCAATCAGTTGCCTCTCACACGCCCCCAACTGAGGACCTGGCCTGTAACCCAGGTGTGTGTCCTGACTGGGAATTGAACCGGTAACCTTTTGGTTTGCAGGCTGGTGCTCAGCCCACTGAGCCACACCAGCCAGGGGCTCCCCACCCTGTCTTTTTTATGGGCAGATGAAGGGGGTACTTATGCTTCGTGATGTACAGACTTGGAGGTCTGAGAGAAGTATTAGAGTCCAAACAAAAACCCAGCTCACTCCATTGTCTTGTTAGACTTGAAAGGGCCTTCTTCCTATTTCATGTATAGATTTAACCTTGGATTTGGTGCTCGGAGAAGCTGCACGTGTCCAGCTCATGTTGCCTGAGCAGCCGTTTCAGATGCCCCTGACATTTGGCCTCTCATCCTCTCTTTGTGTTTTCCCCTTCCAAGGAGGTCATGATCTGTGATGAAATAAAAACTATTTAAATAATTCTTATTGAACCACGAGTGGTTCCTCAGTTTATTGGATATTTTTTGCCATTATATATGGCTGCTAATACTGGAGGATCATTTCATTTGGCTCCCATTGTAAGTGAGAATTGACCTTCCCAGCACGGTGTCCCTAGAAGCCCCCGGTAGCTGCTGAGAGAGGGTTCTGGTCTCTTCTGTGTCTGGGCTGGCATGCACAGAGCAGTGGTCTGTACTGGGGAATGAAGTTGGTGTGGCCACTCAGTGGGAACTCAGGCATTGACATGGCCCCGCTGCACCTAGGGGGTTGGCTTTTTAGTTAGCATGTGCTCAGGAGCGTGGAGGAAGCCAGAACTGGCTGGGGCTGCACAGCTGAGAGCCAGAGAATGTTCCTGTGGAGAACATGGGCACTTAAGCCTGCAGCCTCTCTGTGGCTACACTCTCAGAGGCCCTGGCAGGGCTGATGCTCAGGGAGGGCTCCTCCTGGCCGGCGCCCAGCTTTCCCCAGGGGACCCAGAGTCACTTTGGTGCCCAGCTCAGGGGCAGGTTTCCATAAGAACAGGAGGCATTCTGAGGGACCGGCCACTCTGCTCCTCCGCCATCCACTCTCAGGAGCTAACTCTGCCCTAGCTCATTCTTTCTAGAGTCTGTTGTACTCTTCCATTCCTCTGAAAGGACAAGAAGGTGATCATTTTGAGGCAGAGCAGATTAGAAAGTGGTTTGAGATATTTGGGCAACACTTTGTTGCACGTTGCCTGGAAGTGTGAAGTTAGGAGCCAGTTTTGATGGAGCTCTGCTGTTCCTGAGGCTCTGTCATCCCGACAGAGGGTCATCCAGGGGGGAGAGAGTTCCTGTGGCATTGTGGGTCCTGCAGCCCCGTGTCCTGTACCCTGGCATGTAAACGTCTGCTGGGAGAAGTTAAGATGCAGTGGGAATCTCCATGTCTGAGGCTCAGTCCCAGTAGCTCATGTTACATACATTCGCAGGTGAGGACGTAAAGTTTCCCTCACTTCCTTCTAAAATGTCTTCCAAATCAAGAACAGCAAGAACCTTCCCGGTAGCCTGTGCACCATCCCAGCCTGGCTGGGTGGCTGGGTGGTTGGGTGGCTGGGGGCTAGCTTTCAGGAGTTCTCTCCAGATTTCTGAAATGTTAGTTTGCTTTTAAAGGAACAGAAGCCCTTCTTTTTGCACAAAAACAAAAGTCACCTGTGCCTCTGCCACTCCTGACCCCACTCGCCCTTTCCCTGTCTCCTAATCTCTTGCAGCCTGGGAGGGCGAGGGTCGGTTCCCAGCTGGTTTGAGGTGAACACATTCCGCAGACCGAATGGGCCCCAGGCTGCTCTCAGCCCACTTCTTTTTTAGAAAGGCTGGACCAAAGCCACCAACTGTCACCAGCCTGTCATTGCAGGAGCCTGTCACCCACCCTGTTGCTCTTTCTCTTCCTTGACGACAGACTCTGGAGGAACAGCTGATTGTCCTGGCCCCCTGTTTTACACACAGGCTGAGTTAGGGTGTTGGTGGCCTCTCCCGTTTTCTGACTCTGTGGGGTTAGCAGCAGCAGTAACACCAAGAAGTATGTAGAGCTCTCCAGCTCCCCCGCCACAGGAGGAATTTGTTTCTGGCCAACCCCAGCACAGGGCAGGAATTCTTCCCAAGAAGGACGCTTAGGGTGAAGATGTCCTGGAAAGGCTCTTCCTTACATCACAGAACAGCGGCCAGGGCTGCTCCAGACCCTGGTCTGCCCTCTCCTCCAAGGCCGATGGGTCTCCCGAAGGCAGACCTTTCCCTGGCTCTCCTTCCTGCACCCCCGCCTGCCTATCACCTGCCTCATTTCTCCCTGCTGGTTTGTGACCCAGTTGCTCAGTGGGAGTAGAGGTGGCATGGGAAGGAAAGAGGTGGAACAGAACAAGCCACCCCTTCCTCACGCTTCTTTGTTGTTAGGCTCGTGCTCTGTCCTGCGGATTCGGTGGTAGCACACCGTCCCTCAAGGGACTGCGAAGTAGTGCACACGCCAGTTCCGCTTATTGCTGTCTGCCTTAGGGTCGTGTCTATGCCTTGTCCCATGCTAGCTACTTGGTGGCATCTCAGTGGGGTCTGTCCTTTTGAAAGGCTTTTTAAAAAAGATGCACACCTTGTTGAATTCCCTTTGTATTTGGCCTTTAGCTCCTTAGATCGTTGGAGCGCCCGGGAGCCATTGATAAATGAGCTACTTGGGCACGCACGACAGTTACGGAAAATGCCGGTGGGCTTTTGGATACTGTCGGTTTCTTCTGTGGGCAGAGGTCGCGCACCCAGCCGCAGCTCCTGGTCGGTCTGTGTCTCACACTCACTGCAGCCTGTCTCTGCGTCAGAGGGGCCATTAGTCCCTGCCAGCCTGCCCCCGGCATGGAGGAGAGCCCACGGCCTGTGGCAGGAGGACACTGCTGCCTGGCTGGGCTGAGCGTACCTGTTCGTGTGGACCCGTTGCCCTGTGCTCAGTCAGGGCCATTGAAGCCAAGTTTCTAGAATGTTCCATTAAAAATCAAAGGGAAATAATGGCTTCAGAATCAGGTTAATGAGACTTTCTGTTTTGGAATTCAGACAAATTGAAGACATAAGCACTGGGCTAGAGCAGTAAATAAGGTGACCTTTAGAGCCCCTTCCAGCCCTTAGATCTCAGTACTCAAATGGCAATGTGAATGGCTGAGGTGTCGCTGGGTCCTAGTGGGGGCAGGAGTGGGCGCTAGTAGGTGGCCAGACTTGTCTGCACACTAAGAAGGCCACTGGCAGGACACATCCTATAGTTCGTTCCACACACGTGCTCAGGCACTCACGCTTCTCTTTCAAGAACTAGAACTAAGTTTCTCAAGTGAAGGGTACCCAGGTTTCACCTCTGGGGATATCCCTTTTAAGCTGCTGTAAGTTTGAAGCCCAGGGTTGTTTGGTTGATCTTTTTGAGTATGTAACACAAATTCAGTTTGTATGTAACAAACTGAATGTGGTTCAGTTTGTTTTTAAAGTGTGTGTGTGTGTGTGTGTGTGTGTCTGTGTGTGTGTGTGTGTGTGTGTGTGTGAGAGAGAGAGAGAGAGAGAGAGAGCGTGAGAGGCCTCCCCTCCCACCTGACAGCCTCCGGGCAGCCTCTGCCCTGCCCCCTTCCCCTGTTTGGGGAACTGGCACTGCTGGTTTCTTGTGGAGCCTATAGCCTTGCTTCACGTGCCGTGAGCAGGTGCGGACTATGACCCTTCTTCCCCCGCCCCTGCTTGCACAAAAGGTAGCATCCTATGTGTACACAGTGTTCTGCACCTTAACTTACCGATTTCTCTCAGAGATGTTTCCTTATTAGCAGAGAGTTTCCTTTTAGTTTTTAAGCTAAACAGTGTCCCATTGTATGAATGTGCCATTGCATTAATATTTAACTAGTCCCCTATTGCTGTGTGTTCAGGTGGTTTGTAATCTTTTGCTATTGCGGACAGTCGAGTTGCAGTGTTTGAAGGGACTTGGGGGGGCCAGTCACAATGCCGGCAGTAGGACAGCGCAGTGGGGGGTGTCCCGGGCTGTGTCCCAGGCAGGCGGGCACCAGGGCTGCTGAGTTCAGGCCTCCCCTGTGTGTGTGTGTGTGGTCTGCAGACGGCCTGTGAACTGAATGCTGTTTTCTCCATTTTTTTCTTCCAGGGACAATTCCAGCTTTCGAAACACAAAAATCACATTGTGAACGTGCACAGCTGGCAATAATCCTCTCCTGTGTGTGTGTTGCCCGAGAGGACAGGAGGTCTCCGGCTGGCCCGCCCCTCTGCTCATGGAGGGCACCCCCGGGCGGCCTGCTCCCTTTTGCACTCACCCCTGGAGGACGGACCCCGCTAGACACCCTCCAGCAGGGCTGACTTTATAAAGCGGAAGAATGGCAAATGTGACTTTGTGACAGACACACTTTTTTAATGGTTTCTGTGGGGGGAGTCTAGCCTTTCATTTTGCCGCGTGCTGTCTGGGTGCCTCTCGGGCCCCCTGCTGTGCTCCTGTCTGCTGTACGAGGGCGCCGTGGCCGAGGGCACCAGCCTGAGCTGCGGACTGGGAGCTGTCAGTGTTAGGGACGCCCGTGCGCCCAGGAAGCCCTGTTTGTTGGAGAGTCCCAGGGTAACTGTAAATGCTGTCTTCTAGCTTTGCCATTAAATTATTGGGACGTTTTGTTTATTTTGCTCCCCTTTCCCCCAAGCCCACCACCCTCTGACAGTGTGTTGCTGACTGTGTGGTCTCCTGCCTCACGCCCACCAGTCTTCCCTGGGGTGGGACTCTCCTGCTCAGGTGCTGCTGCACTCAGAACTGTGCCCCAGAGGTCCACCACCTTCCCTGAGGCACCTTAGAGGTGCGACTCTGTACATTAAACTAGAGCAGAATCCAGCTGGGTCAGGAGCAAAATGGCAGCAGAGGTTCTGAGCAAGACTGGGAGCCGAGGGCAGCATCTGAAAGAGCCTGTTTACACAGAGGGCTGGGGCCTGTGTGTCCAGCCAGTGTCTGTGGGTTCTCGCCTGGCCCTCACCCAGGGACAGGAGCAAAGGCTGGTCACAGCCAGGTGCTCACCCTTCCTGTGATGAAAATTCTGTGGTTCTGAAACTGGGGCATCCAAAGAAAAGGTGACTGTGGCAGATGGCTTTGAGTGGCTGTGCCTCTCTGGGGATGTCGGAGACCTGGTCAGTCTTCATCACCTGGTACCTATGTGGCAAGCATGTGCCGATCCAGGATGCCCACAAACTTATGGCAGGCTCCTGCAGGCATGCCCTAGAGAGGTCTCAGAGCACGTGGGATTGACCTAAGTACTGAGGACCAGTCCCCTCACAGCCTGGAAGGAGCTCTGTCTTACTAGGCTCTCGTGAGCAGAGATCCAAGTACCTTAAATTAAGGTCCCTCCTGAAATCTTGCAGGCCAAAGGGCCTCAGCCACCTGGCCTCAGAGAAATTGCGTGCGCATGCGCATGACGGGCATTTTCTCACTGCTCCCGTCACTCCCACTTCCCATCCCCTCGACACCCTCCGATTGCCACTGGCTGGGATGCTTTCTGCTGAAAGAACAGAAGTACAGGGGCCACAGGGAGGTGCTGCTTCTGTTATGGGTGAGTTAGTTCAGATAAGAAGATCCAGCAGTGATTTAAACCACAGGAACATGAAGGATGAATTCTAGTGCCCAGGCCTTTGCTGAGCACCCAGGCAAACAAGCGCAGGACTGACTGCCTGGGGGGCCAGGCTGCCTCCAGAGACCTGCTCAGCTGCGCGGGGGTGGGGGGCGGCCTCCCCCTTGCCGGAACTCGGATTTGCCTGGGAATCCCGGAGAGAGCGGGCACTGGGGCTGCCCTCCTGTGGGCATCTCCCGGGCTGGTGTGTGTGTGCACAGCGTGTTCATGAGTGAGGGTTTTGTCATGCCTGTGCTCAGGTGTTTTGTCCACATTCATATTGTTGCTTTCTATTTTGGTCTCGTTTGTTCAGATTTTTTACTCTCCCATGTTCCTGGAGCTGCTCGTGTTTCCCCTTCCTCTTTGTCATCGCAGTATTTGATAGTGGTTTTTCCCTATCTAAAACAGGCTGGCCCTGTGCTGGGTAGGCCCCGAGCGGCTTCTGTCTGACAGCGTCTCCCCCGCCAAGTGCTCCAGACACTGCCCGCAGCTTTCAGCTGGCAGGGAGCTGGCAGGGTCGGCTGGTCCCACCCACTCTCCAGCCTCGCCCGGAGGCCTCTTCACCTCTGCCCTCGGAGGCCTCTGCTGTGCCGAGGTGGGACCCAGTTGGCCATGGCACCACCTGTTCTGGGTGGCCGTGCACCTGACAAACAGGGATGTCGCTGCCCGGGCCGAGGACCTACTTTCCACTTCACGCAGGCGCGCTGTTTTCCCGGGCCCCTCCGCCGAGTGTCCGGAACCGGCCCCTCCCCGCTCCAGTGCCGTGCTCCTCTCGACTGGTCTCTGTGTGCTTCCGCTTCCCCTGCCAATGTTCCCTATTGGCAGTGGCAATAACTTTCCACCCAGAGATGCTTGTGGTGCGCGATGCTCCAGGGATGAGTCTCCAGGCGTCCACCAGCGGAGGAGGAAGGCGGACAGGAGGGACCCAGTGTCGCACTTTCAGAGCCATTTCTGCTCAATAATAAACGGAAAGTATCAGCAACAACGGGCTGCAGACTCTTCAATAGAGGGCGACGGGGTGTGGTGCTTTGTTGCTGCCAATGCTGCCCTCGCAGGTCTCCGCTGGAGTGTGGATTGGACAGCACCAGGGGCGTCCAGACTGCCCCGGGATGGTGGGCATAAACGCGCGTGGGAGTGTTCTCTGATTGGCAGGCATCACTGCCAAAACTCAGTTTACATTTTTAATACCACAGTGTCGCCGTTAACTCTTCTCAACTTGGGGAAAGGAATATTGATTGGAATGGAAGGCAGCTCCACGAATTAGACTGAAGTAAGACAGCCCTGCAGACCTAGGCTTAGAGTGTCAATTTAGATTAAATAGCTCAGCCCAAAGGCGGGTGTGTGGGTGGGCGGGCGTCCTGCTGCCCGGTGCCCATGGGAGCACCCAGAGGGGCGAGACCCGCGGAGCCTCAGTTACTATGCATGAGGGTTTAAAACAATGCGTCGTGAGGCCCTGTTTCAGCAGATGGAAATTTTCCTTCTGTGTGTATCAGCCATGGTGCAAATAGGGGACAGAAAGCCCTGGAAGTTACTTTTATAGTGCGACAGGCAGCCGACTCAATAACTGAAAAAGGCAAGAAGGGAACAACTCAGGGAGGCAGCAACTCCAGGAGCTGCTGCCCGAGGCGGGAGGCTGCCCCCTGGTGCCAGTGCCCAGTATGAAGTGAGGCTGGCTCGGAGCCTGGACGGCAGCGGGGCGGCTGTGGGGACACCGCGGCTGCGGAGGTGCAGGAGCAAGCCCTTATCTCCAGCATCAAGGCTTCCCTTGGGGCACCTGGTGGGGTGGGCTGAGTCCTCGGCCCAGTACCCCCAGAACAGAGGAAGCCGAGAGAATGAAAGAGCTTAGTGACTGATTGCACGGTTCTCCTCTTTTTCCACTCAGCACCTAGACACACCCTTCCACACATCCCAGAACTTGAAGAGTATCTCAGGAGCAGCCCTGTTTCTGCCCAGGGTAGAATGAATTGTAGGACATTCTTACCCTCTCCCCAAACTGAGGATGGGTAAAGCCCAGCCTCCCGTGGATGCCTCTGATTCCGTCCCAGCCTCATCTGGCTGGAAGGGAGAATAACAGGACGGTACCTAAAGATGAAAGAGACATGTCTGCCAGTCTTGGGCCCAAGAAGGCAGACGGAGCTGTCAGGTGTCTCTGGGCCAGCAAGCCTTCCTCCTGTCACTGACCAGAGGGACTGCTCACGTTGATGCCCGAGCACCAGAGGCCCGTCCCAGCCTTGGCCTCGGCCTGCTCCCCCAGGTCCCCCCTTGGACAGTTCCTGGAAGGGGCTGAGAGTCCTACAAAGGCTGCAGCCCATCTGTTGCCAGGCCACCCTGGCCCTGCCCAGCATGCGGTTCCTAGGGGGCCTGCCTCCCTCAATGCTCCGCTTTCTCAGGTCTATTTTTCATGCCCACTGATTCACCATGCCCACCACACCCCCAGCCCTGGGCACCCTGGCTGGGGTCCTGGCTAACTCAGTGCTAGGCTGCTTTGCAGTTGCTAATCTAGCCAAATATTTGCCCCAGCTCATCCCCACCCACTGTCTCCTGCCAGTTTCCACTTTCCTCCTTGCCTTCTAAGACTCCTCACAAAGGGCAGGGGTCTCATCCCTCCAACTGATAAAATGGCCCAGGCCAGAGGCAGAGAGACCCCACCTCTCCTTAACACAGTGGGTGCCCCTTGGGAGGTCATAGGGGCAGATGGGACCATGGCCTTTGCCTGGGTTCCTGGCTCACACAGCTCCCCAAACCCACGGGATTTCCCGAGCTGTGAGGACAGGGGAACATCTTTTGTTCTGAGTTCCTGAAATCGCCTAAGAGCTAGGGGCTGACTCGGGTGTGTTGTTATTGGTAACCAGCCCCTTTCCAGCACAGCTGGGTTTATGTTTATCGAGTGACTTTTGTTTTTGTTTTTTAAATTTGTATTTATTTTTTAGAGAGAGAGGAAGGGAGAGCAAAGGAGAGGGAGAGAAACAGCCAACCACCTGAGCCACAGGGTCAGGGCGATCAGGGGACTTTTGGAAGCACCTGAGGATAGGGCTAGTTGCCAGGGCAACCATCTTGGAATAGAGGGGTGCAACTTTCAGTCCCACCCCCTGACCTCTGGGGAGAGGAGAGGGGCTGGAGGTTGAATCAGTCACGGATGGCCAAGGATCGAATCAACCCTGCCCACATGATGAGGCCTCCATGAAACCCAAGAGAGAGGTGAGGAGAGCTTCCACGTTGCCACTGCGTCAGGCTGAAGTCTCCACAGGGAGAGAAGCCCCTCGGTGTAAAATCTTGCCATGGGCATCTCTTCTCTGGCTGTGAGCTGCTCAGGCAAGTTGGTGGAGCCCGAGGAGGGGGTTGGTCAGAACTGCAGGTGACAGCCTGCCCTTGTGATTGGCATCCTGGACGGGGCCATGGGAACCTCCAGTTGGCGGCTGCTCAGTCAGAAGTGCAGGTGGCAACTTGAACTTTGTGATTGGAGTGTGCATGGAAGACACAGTCTTCTTGACTGAGCCCTTCACCTGGGGGATCTGGATGCTATCCCCAGGCAGGCAGTCAGAATCAAGTTGAAGTCTAGGTGCCGGTGGCATCACGGCATCACTTATGGGTGCGGGGAAGCCTCCACTCACTAGAATCGGGAGCCATTTGCAGACGCTCACCGAGAAGAGATCACAGAAAACTTTCCAATTTTTGCTAATTCTGATAGCAAAAATCTCTGATCTCAAATCATACACGTGTAGTTGAGTTTTCTTTCATGTATTTAAGAACAATTTATATTTGCTGTTATCATCTGACCATTTGATGGTCTTTCTCATGTTGGTTTCTAGGAGATCTTTCTGTATGAGGAAGGCTGTCCCTTTGTAGACTGAGCTTGGCCGGTTCAGGGGCCAGCGCGGAGCCCAGGGCAGCTGCCCACGCTGTGGTGCACGGGGCCTCCATTCTGCCAGTGGCCAAGGACGGGCTGTGTCCTGCCAAGAAGTGTGCAGACAAGCTGGGCTCTAAGGCAGGTGTCAGTACGACTTACCTGGGACCTCAGGGTGCAAGGAGCCCAGGTGCCTTGACAGTGGTGGGAGCATTCATCCCTTCCTCTAGGTGTTTGCATGACCCAAGCCTTGTTGCCGTGTATCTGAATGGGTCTGTCTGTCCCTGCATGGCTTCCAGAGTTTGAGTCATATTTGAAAAGCCTGCCCTGGGTCTTCAAGGCAAAGGCAGAAAGGCAGAGAGGATCACAGGCAGGGGTGAGGGGTGGGCTGACCGCAGAGCAGCAGGGAGGGCTGCAGGCCCGCTGAGGCTGCTTGGAAGACTGGCAGGAAAGGCTGCAGGCACCTGATTCCAGAAAGAGGGTGATTCCAGGCGATGGCAGAGACCAGAGGGCAAGTGTGGGGCCAGCAGCTCAGAGAGAGGATCAGGGAGGCCGAGAAACCATGAGGGAGGGGAGATGGGCGTGGGCCGTGTCATCCAGGTGGTGACATGTGCTGCAGCCCAAATTGAGCCCAAAGCCAGGGGTCTCTGCACCAGCACATCACAGCCCACTCCCCACCTCCTCACGGTGCATTGTGCTCAGACAGGTCAGTATCTATTCTGACTTCAGTCCCTGTTTAACTTCCTTCACACAGACTCTGGGGTGGTGCGGGGGGAATGCGTGGCTCAAATCAAAGGACTGAGAGCACGGAGAGGTCCCATTGGTGCATCTTAGGCCTGACCCCAGGGACTTGTCAGCCTTTGCCTCGAGCCTCAGCCATGCCAGGGCTCACAGCCCCAGTGCAGGCTCAGGCCCGACTCCCTAGCCCTTAGCTGAGGTCCTGGGCCGCCACAGCAGGGATCCGGGCGTGAGTTCAGGCTCTGGTGTCGTTCTGGCAGCATGTCACCTCGTCCTGATGAGTCCACTGTCAGGGAACAGAGCGTCTGCCAGGTAGAGGGTGTGTGGAGGAGGAAGACTCGGCGGCCCGGGGGACAACTGCCGTTCACTGTCGCCTTCCTGCGGCATCTGACCCTGAGTGCTGCTGTAGAACAGCCTCTTGAAGTCACAGGCAGTGCAAGGGTTAGACCCTGACCCCTGTGCTCTGGGGTAGAGGAGGAGGCGTTGGTGTGAGGTTGCGTTTACTTCCATACAAGCGCACACCTACTCCGGGAGACAGCGAAATAACCACAGCTGTGGGTGCGCATGCGCATTGGTACACACAGACACAACACGGGGCCCGGCACCAAGAACGCCCGTTTTATTGTAAAATCTTTTACTACAAAATCATAAGCGTGTCATTTTCTAACATACCAATGTCACACTCATGCACACCATATGACATTTTAGGTGACATGTTCACATTAAAACTCTTAAGTCATTACACCCGTGTTATTACCCTACCAGCCACATTCAAGCAGGCCGGCCCCCTCTGTCTGCCCCAGCTCTCTCCTCTGAGGGGGCCTGGAAGCGACGACACCCCAGGGGCAGCGAGCGCCCTGCACCCAGACCTTAATGTCTACACGCCACTCTCCAGGAGGGCCACCTGCTGGGGGACTGACCACGGAGGGTACAGCAAGGGTAGACCAATGGCCCTTTAGGCCCCCGGGACCATGGAGGGTACACCAAGGGTAGACCAGAGGGCCCTTTAGGCCCCTGGGATCTAGGCTCTCAGGATGAGGGCGAGGGAACTAACTTCTGCCGCCTTCCACAGCTACTCAGGCCCTGGGGACACTGTGCTGTCAGACAGACTCTCAGCTGTCGGTGGCTGATGAATTATGCCCTAGCTGCCGTGATGACCCGGCAGCCTGCCAGTTTGGCCACAATGGTGCTAAATGTCCGAGCTCTGAGCCCCTGGCGCCTGGGAAGTGCTCCGCAGTGAGTTTTCCAGACCGCAGCTGCCAGGAAGGCGTGGTGGGAGCGTTGGAACCCACCATGAGCCGGACAGGAAATTCCTCAAGGCATAGGTCAACATGAAGTGACACGAGATGCCAACCGCTCCTGCACCTGTCGTGCCTCCGCCGCCAGTGCCAAGACCC